TAAAACAGCCACCCAGGCTGAGCGGGGGTCAGGCGTTCCATCTGGTCCGACAGAAAGTTCGGCTCGCCTGCCCGCGTGCATTTGCTTCAGACCAGCAGGATATTCTCCTTCAGCCACGACACTGAGTATCAGGGAACGACTAGCCACGGTCAGAAGAGCTGGGAGAGGCAACCAAACCGAAGGAGCCTGCCCCCACAAGGCCAGCCGTCACCACGCAGGCGTCCTCCACGTGCCGAATGAGCCCTTCTTAAAGGGGGACGTTGGGACCTCAGGGCCGGGGACCGAGGCAGCTGGAGAGCCTGGCAAGGATCTATCTGATTAAATCTGGGGTCTTTTTTGTCTTTTGGTTTGTTTTGGCTTTTTGGTCACACCCGGCGATACTCAGGGGTTATTCCTAGCTATGCACTAAGGAATTACTCCTGGTGCGGTGCTCAGGGGACCATCAAGGATGCTGGGGATGGAACACGATCAACCGCCCTACCCGGAGTACTATTGCTCCGGCCCACTTTGGGTTTTTTTTTTTTTTTTTTTTTTTTTTGCTTTCTGGGTCACACCTGGCGATGCACAGGAGTTACTCCTGGTTCATGCACTCAGGAATTACTCCTGGCAGTGCTCGGGGGACCATAAGGGATGCTGGGAATCGAACCTAGGTCGGCTGCGTGCAAGGCAAACGCCCTACCCGCTGTGCTATTGCTCCAGCCCCAACCGCTTTGTGTTTTTAATTACAAAACATTCATCCGCCCACCCCCCTTATTCTTTCACAAGTTTACAGTGGTGTTTCCCAGAGTTCTACACACCATGCACTAGTATCACTGCCCTAACAGCTAATGAAATGTGTGCTCACGTATTCTTGTACTTTCCAGAATTTTCTAAGATCTCTTGGGATACTCAATACTTTTCTAAGCACTCTGGGCGCACTCCATAATTTATGAGTGTCAAGGGGTCCTGAGACTAAATTTAAGCACCACTGAAATAATTTTGTCCCTGCAAAAATCGGGGACAGGAGGGCGGGGGGTAAGGGGGTAGGGAATCTTTTAAAGAGACCAGCAGGGAAGAGCAACCACTCCGTCGGGGAGGAAGATCACAGGGTGCCAAGCATAGGCTACAGAAGGAGAATTGCCAATCGAATCTAAAACGCAGCCAAACGCAGAGAGGCATTTTGGGGTATGCAATCAAAATGACAATTGCGTATATGGGAAAATAAATTTGAATGTTTCTGATATCAACCGGAAAGTTTCATTCAAATGTGCTCTAGCAATTTTCATCTTAATTGCACCTCGCTGGTCTATGAGAACTATAAAAGACACTGCGCCGCGAAGAATTCAAGAATTCAAGGTTAAAACACAAGGTAGTTTCCTCACTGCTTTTAGACATGAGGGGGGAAAAAAATTCTTCATGCATAATTTTCGTTTTCAAATGCTCAGACATTTAAAACACTGCCTAAATTTTCTGAGCAGAAAACACTGGCTTATTTTAAATAAAATAATACCTTGTGAAGATCTGTTTGTGAATTAAAATAATAGTACTGTGTTTCCCAAAGTGGGCAATTGTCTCAGTCGGAGGTGGAAGGGTGGGGGGGGTGGGGGGGCTGATGCTGAGGAGGCTCTACAGGAAAGATTTAGGGAGCAGAAGCAGCCTCAGAACCCCTAGGGGATGCTTTCTGTTTATTTGCTCAGCTGAGAAAGGTAGATTTACAGGGACAAGTTGAGAGATTTTTCTTTTTCTTTTTCTTTTCTTTCTTTTTTTTTTTTTTTATTTTAAAGAGGGCAGCAGGGTTTGAATGAGTTTGGGAACCTCTGCACTAGAATATATCTGAGATATAGATGTTGACCCAAACCTGCATAAACTCATTGCTGTAAATTGATTGAAACCTAACTACCAGCTGGGCAAACACAATTCTAGCACTGCAATACGTAAACGGCCATTTCCTAAAAGTCCAGTGTTACCAACCTATGGCTTAGCTGCCCATAAATGCATCCGAAGGTTCCAAGCAATGGGAATATAATAAAGATGGCAGTTGACAAAGATAGTAATAAAATAAATAAAGATGCCATCAACCATCTAAGCGCTCCCGTGTTTGCTGAGCACACAAGTAAGGGTGCTCGGCCGGGCAGTCAGGGTGGCAGGTAACTCGGAGAAAAGCAAGACGTTTTCCATCTCAGCACGGGAAAGCAGGCTTGACTGCAAGAAGATCGTCTGGTAAAGAGTTAACAACAGTGGTCTGGCTTCGTAGTAGAACATGAGGCTTCCCATGTGAGGCCCCAAGTTCAATTCCCAGCACTGCCCCCCCCCACCAAAGAAAATAAAAATAAATAACAATAAAACAACAGGCAAAAAAAAAAAAAAGGTTAAGACTGATCACACTGGCCGAGGGCAAGAACGCAGGCAAAAAGGACAACTAATGGGGGTTTTAAAATAAACAAATAAAAAGAATTAAGTGTAGAATGACAGTAGCTGCAAAGTTTAAAATGTGCGGACACAGGCACCGGAGCGATAGTACAGCAGGTAAGGCACTTGCTTTGCACACAGGCGTCTTGAGTTCAATCCCCGGCACCCCATAGGGTTCCCTGAGCACCACCAGGGGCAATTCCTGAGTGCAGAGTCAGGAATAACAACTGAGCATCACCAGGGGTGGCCCCAAAAGAAATAAATGAAATGCGCAGGCCCTCCAATCTGGGAGTGCAAGCTGGATGTTTATCTTAAAGAAGTGCATGTACGTAAAGGCACGTGGCAATTCAATGCAGCTTTGTTCATTTAAAGCCCGCATTTGAAATAACAAAATTCTGAAAATAAGAAGTGAATCTCAGTACGCAAAAGAAAACTAAAGAAATATCATGCGCCTATCATAACACATAAGAAAAATATGCAGGTCCCAGGTGACAGTGCAGTGCGTAGGGCGTTTGCCTTGCATGCGGCACACCAAGGTTCGATACCCGGCATCCCATATGGTCCCCCACGCATCGCCAGGAGTAATTCCTGGGGGTTGAGCCAGGAATAAACCCTGAGCCTCGTCAGATGGGACACAAAAAAGTCAAACTAAATAAATAAATAAATAAAGGGCAGGTCCTGATGTTAAGGTGATCAAAGTCAAGAAAAAAAAATATACATATATACATATACATACACACACATATATATACACTCTTTTACAGGCATTGTGTAATAATCACTACATCTGTCATCTGTGCCATCAAACACATCCACAGTACACTAGGACAAGTGCTACTCTCTGGTGGCGGTCAGAAGCAAATGTGGCAGCAGCCCGAATCTAGCTGCTCCGGTCAGCTGAGGTGCCTGGTCTCCCCTCCCCACCCTACTCCCCTCTCTCCTCTCCCCCACACCCTCTCCCTCCACACCCTCTCTCCCCTCCACACCCTCCCCCCCCCCAAGTCCTTCTCTTCTCCCAACCCCCCCTACTGACTGGCAGGCCTTCCCGAGTGCTTTTCCCATTAAAATCAACATCAGGGACTTGGAGCAATAGTTCAGTGGGCAGGGCACTTGCCTTGCACACGGCCAACCGAGGTTCAATCCCCGGCATCCCATATGATCCCCGGATCCCACTAGGAGTGATCCTGAGGACAGAGTCAGGAGTTACCCCTGGACATAGCCAGGCGTGGTCCCTGAACAAAAGAGTCAAAATCAGGAGACTGGAGCAGTAGTACAGAGGTAGGGCGCTTGCAGTGTAGTCGGCTGATCTAGTTTATAGTTTAATCCCTGGTGCTCCCCTGAGCCCCAGCAAGAGTGATCCCTGAGTGCAGAGCAGGAGTCAGCCCTCAGCACTGCCGAGTGTGGACCCAAACCAAAAACCAAACAGACAAACCAAGAGACCCAAACCCTTCCTCAGGGGGGTGCTCAAACGTCACTCTCCCACGAAGACAGACCCCAACAGCCCTAACTTGCATGTGCTTCTTCCTCCGTGTTTCACAGCACTCTGCTGGCGTCTCTTTTAAAACTTATTTTCCTCTCCCATGTATTAATAGTCAGTCTCCCTAGTAACCTATAAACCGGAGTGCAAAGACTTTACCATTCAACTCTTAATTGCCTAGGGGCCTTGGGCATATTAAGATTCATTAAAAGTATATGTCCTGGGAGGGAGAAAGAGAGAAAGAGAAAGAGATTTAGAACATTAATATATATATGTATTTTTTTAAATAGCCCATTGGTTCGGATTCAAGGCTGACCAACGGATTCGAGTTAGCACTTCCCTGTCCAGACGCCTACTAACATCCAGCCCAACTCTCATTTTCTAAACACGAAGTGCCAGGCACCAAGCTGATCACTTGCCCTCATTCTCATTTTCTCCTAACAGCCTTGTGAGGAAGGCACTGCTTCTCTAGGCAGATGAAACGCCCGAGGCCCAGGAGGAGAAGTAAGTGACTAAAGTGACTTGGGAATCGCCTGCCTGCTCCCACCCCAAAGTCTCTGCAGACTCCTTCATGGGTGACTTTTTCCTTTCAACCTTGAGAACAATAAAGCAGGAAAAAGTCTCAGCCTGATCTTTCCGAGGGCCCGGTCCTGGGCTACCGCCCAGGGAACTGGCCTTATTAAAAAAATTGGAGATGGGGATGTTCGCCCAGCTCAGTCAAACTGAATATTACTGACTATCGCCTTTCCTTCCGGGAGTCTGGTGTTGTACTAACTACGGCTGGCGCAGGATGAGTCCGTGGTCCGTCCCCAGGAAACACCCTCGATCTGGAAATTTCAGCTTGGCTTTCTTGAGAGAAACACAGCACATCTTTTCACCCTTGGGAAAAAGGAGCGTGGGTACGAGAGCCCTCCCCGTAGAGAAGAGGAAACCCGGGCGGCCTGGCCAGGCTCCAGCCTCTACCCGGTGTGACCTTCCCCGCGGACACATGGCCCAGCCATCCATCCTAGGGACTGCGCCAGGTCCTGGAATTTCTGAATTAAGTCACAAAAACCAAAGGAAACAAACCCGAAGGGGAGCAAGCACAGGAAACAGACGCCCCAAGGAGCGGGCGGCACAGCGGCACGGGCCTTACTTCTCGGGGTTGTCTGGGAACTTGATCCGCAGCTCCTGGTTCTTGTAGGAGCGCTTCTCAAATGTGAGGATCATTTTCTTCACCGAGCTCTCGTCCAGCGGCTCCTCCTGGCACAAAGGGACAAAGGCCACAACTTCAGTCGAAAGGGACTTCTCAGTCACGCTTCAGAACGCCTCTAATTCTCCCTGGGGGCGCATCACCGCTGCTCTGCCTCTCGTCCACACAGGCCACGGGCAGAGCCAGGGGGAACCCTGCCTGCAGTTCTGGGCAGACCCCACTCCGGGCCTGGGAAGTTCCACTGAAGGCTTTAGACGCTCGCTCATTCAACGTCTACTTCTCCGGGATACTTTATGCTGGTGTGGAGTAAGAAGTAATATTAGCTAATTAATATTCATCTTACCCTTCTCTGGGCTGGAGTGATAGCACAGCGGGTAAGGCATTTGCCTTGCATGCGGCTGACTAGGCAGACCCAGGTTCTATTCCTCCACCCCTCTCGGAGAGCCCGGCAAGCTACCGAGAGTATCTCGCCCGCACGGCAGAGCCTGGCAAGCCACCCGTGATGTATTCGATATGCCAAACACAGTAACAACAAAGTCTCCAATGGAGACGTTACTGGGCCCGCTCGAGCAAATCGATGATCGACGGGAGGACAGTGACAGTGACAGTGACCCTTCTCCGTTGCTCAACAGGTAGAACACTCGGGCTAGTTAGAAAGGAGACTGGCCTGTGTGCTGTGCATTCGGGGGACCCAAGTTGGAGGTCCAGCACCACACACTCGCCCCAAACCCCCCAGGAGTGACCACCAGGCCCTTACCACCAGTGTAAAGCTTTTGTTGTCATGGAGGGGGGGTGTATTTTGGGGGGCAGCACTCCCAGCTGGGTCCCAGGCCAGGGTGACCGTGCAGGGTCAGGGTCCCTCATGTCAACCAAGCCCTCCCGCCCCCTGGATCAACACTCAAGGGGGGTTCAAGGAGCCCTGGGAGCGGCCCTGAGTCTCTCCCCCTGACCAGACTTGCCAATGACATGGCACTGGGCAAATCCAACCCAACGCCAACTTCTGTACAGCCCGTAAGGGGAAACTGGTAACTAGCACGAGGCCCTGACTGGCATTTGCTGCCCATTACTGGACCGTGTCCTCGGTGGCTTCTGAGGTGAGGGGATCAGACAGGCAAGGGGACGGGTAATACACAAACAGGAAATCAGTGACCACCCTCAGAGCTAGAGAGCAAAGAGGGAGGGGGGGGGAGGGGAGGGGAGGGGAAGGAAAGGAAGGGAAGGGAAGGGAAGGGAAGGGAAGGGAAGGGAAGGGAAGGGAAGGGAAAGAGAGAGAGAGAGAGAGAGAGAGAGAGAGAGAGGACCTGGAAACCAAGGGCAGGGAGCACTCAGAGGTGCAGGACACAATACTCACACACACCAACACTGCCCCCAGCCCAACCCCTGCCCCAGTGTGGCCCTAGTGGATCCTAGGACCATTTTGGGCTCCTCCTGGTGGGCCAAGTGCCATGGAGGCCCCTGTCAAACAAACAAGTAGGCCACAGAAAGCATGCTTATTCGTGCACGGGAATAAATGCCTACAGATAGAAATCAAATAAATTTTGGGAAAAAAAATTTTTCAAAAAAAAAAAAAGAAAGAAAGAAAAATACCCTACACAAAAACTTCAGAAATATGTTTTCCTCGGGGCTGGAGAGATAGCACAGCGGGTAGGGCGTTCGCCTTGCATGTGGCCGACCCGGGTTCGATTCCCAGCATCCCATATGGTCACCTGAGTACCACCAGTAGTAACCCTTGTGCATCACCGGGTGTGACCCCCCCCAAAAAAAGGAAAGAAATATGTTTTCCTCTCTGTCATTTCCATTTCACAGCGATGTGCCGCCACGCCCTCCGTCTCTCTGAGGTGCCCCCACTCCACTCCTCTGGTCATCGCCTCAAGCAGCGTTCACGGCTCCAGCTCCAAAGCTAAAGCCAACGCAAGAGAGAAGCCACTGCTGAAAGAGCCGGAAGGAGCCTGGGGGAGACGCAGACCAAGCCGCGCGTCACAAGACTTCAAAAGCATCGGCTACTTGCTCATTAAACTTGGATTCAATCTAATCCTCAAACCCTCACCCAGTCCACCTCACTCGACCTCCGAAGCCCTAGAATTCATCCAGCTGGCACAGAGATAACACCCAAGGCCTTCCAGGGGTCACAGCGGGAAGGCCCAGTGGCCTCTGGCCCACGCCATCTCTCCTGACCCCCAAACGGGACAAGGATCCCCGTGGGTGACCCAGGTCTATCTGTCCACTGCCGACTCCCCGGTGGCCATCCTGGTGGCTGGCACATTCGCAGCAGGCAGAGAGTCCGGCGGGGCGGGAGGAGGAGCACCAATATCGCGGTGTCACTCAAGGCCAGAGACCGAGGTTCGGGAGACGAGTTGCGTGTATAAAATTGTCTCATAAACCACACGACCCCACAGAAATGGAAGCTGTCGCTGTTATTAGAAGCGGGCCACATACCCCACATACCCACAGGACTCAAGTGGAGTGATGGAAACATCTAGAAAAGCGCTCGGTCACTTTTCTGAGCAACTCAACAGCAACTCCCTCGGCTGACATCTTGTCCTCCCCGCGTAGGAAAAGCCGCGGTTGACTTAACGCTGTTCTCAAGCGTGATTCCCAAACTCTCCGCCACTCTGGGCTTTGGCCTTGCTGCTCTCATTTCTCTCCGACAGCGGCGGAGACTGGAGTGATCAGTCTAAGTCACCCGCCACTGCGGCTTGTCCAATAGCTCACCGTCAGGGGCTAGGAGGCGAGCCGGGAAAGATGAATGCTGGGGGGCGGGGGGAGGGCGCACAAAAGGGACAACGGTATTTTATGGGTGCACGTGACCAACGTCACGGGGGGCAAACATCACTTGTTTTTCATCAGATGGGACTTGGGTGGCAGTTGAGAAAATAACTCCTGGACTTGGAGCCTTCCGAGTGTCATTTTTACAAAGCGATCTCCTTTTCCCTATCCCTTAACAGAAGGCCTGGCCCCACATTACATTTCTGTCTCCCAGGCGAGGAACCACTTACCCATGACAGCTACAATCCTAAGCCTCCGGTGCCAGCCGGGCCCTACACGGAATTACACCTGCCAATTAGCCGTGGCTGCAGGGCTGACAGATTGTGCTGGCTTTGCGAGAGGGTGTCGGGGGGAGGGGGCAGGGGCCTTAGACCGCAGAGAGGAAATTCAGGGCCCCCACCAGCCTCCCCTAGGGGCACCATCTTTAGGGGTGGTCGTGTGTGTGTGTGTGTGTGTGTGTGTTTGTGTGTGTGTTCCCAACCTCCTTCAGCATGTGGACGGATACTAGCAACGAAAGGCTCACAAAAACCCTTTCCGAACAGGCATCCATGTTATTCGTTTTGCGTTTTCCTTCCTCAGATCTGCACTCAAGCTTTCTTTTTTTTTTTTTTTTTTTTTTTTTGCTTTTTCTTCAAACTTAGCATCATGTCTTTGAGAGAATGGGCGGGGAGTGGGGGGGAGGGTGAGAACCAACTGGTTCTTAAGAATCTATTTCCATAATTCACATGGAACAAAATGCCAGAGCAAAAAGAAAAAAAAAAACATGAAAGTGAACACTTAAGAATGTAAAAGACACAAAGGTAAGGTCATTTTATTCTTTAGCTGTTATTTTCTTTCCACTTTGCTCTGTGTGTGTGTGTTTTTAAGCTTCATTCATTTATTCATTCAATAAATATTTATAAAGGGTCTACACTTAATAGGTTAGCGTCACAGCTGTGAACAAAAACAGCCGGCTCCTGTTTTCACAGGAGGCTGGAGAGAAGACAACAAAGAAGGAAAATAAACAGGCAGGAATTTCAGATCATAGTAAGCGTGATGCAGACAATACACAGACTATGGTGTGTGTGTGTGTGTGTGTGTGTGAGAGAGAGAGAGAGAGAGAGAGAGAGAGAGAGAGAGAGAGAGAGAGAGAGAGAGAGAATGCATGACATGCAGGGCTACCTCAGAGGTGGAAAAGACTCCTTTCACTAAGGAGAAAACATCTGAACTGAGCTCTGAAGGCGAAGAAGCCATGCAGGGCGGGAGGAAATGTGGCGCCCTGCCTCACTGGGCACAAAGGCACACGGGCCCCGGAGGCAGGAGGGAGCACAAAGGTTTTTGGAATCTCCAGAATGGCAAACAGGCTCGTGGCACCTCCTTCCCTGACTGGCACTCTTCCAGACGCACCGGAAACTACGCCCTTGACCTCCTCTACCTCCGCGGCGTCTGTGAACACCACTTCCCTGCTCTGAAAACTCTCCTTCCACTAATTCAGTGAATCTCTGCACTTCTTTCAAAGACTATCAACAATATAGGATGTCCTGATTTACAATGGTTCGATTTAGGATTTTTTTTTTCCATTTTATAACATGGTGGTGACTTCAACTGAAACCCTACATGGAGGGCTGGAGCGATAGCACAGCAGGTAAGGTGCTAGACTTGCACGTCACCAACCCCGGTTCAATTCCCGGCATCCCATATGGTCCCCTGAGCACTGCCCAGGAGTGATCCCTGAGTGCCAAGCCAGAAGTAACCCAGGTGTGGCCCAAACACATGAATCTACTCACTTGCTGATGCCAGTGGGCAAGCCCAACTCCCCATCAACCATGGACCACAAGGCCACGGGAGCAAATGATACTTTACAGAGCATCTCCACCCTAGCCCGGGACTCAACGGTTCACTCGGGAGAGGCCACATGGTTATTAGACAGGCTCTGCATTCGAGGCTTTGAGTCAGCTCTGGACTAACATAATGTTCTGAGCACCTCTGAGGCAGGTGAGGTGGATGTAAGTGCATTTTGACGGGCAACACGATAAAGGAAACTTTTACGGGGACATAACCCCATCATCATCAGTGAAGGAAATCCCGTATTCAATAGCAAAAGTGCCTTTTCTTTCACAAGGAGCTGCCTGCCAAGTGTGCTCAGTCTGACCGATGACACCCACCTTAGCCCCCCCTTTGATCGACACCCGGGCTGAGCCAGTGCTGGGGGCCTCGATTTGAGCCCAGAGCCGGGAGCCGCTGAAAAGCCCCCTCTGTAATGTTCTTTACACTTTGCAAAGGCTTTCCCAACTCCATTATCCCCCTTAACCTCCCTGTCAACACTGTGAAATAAGTATTCTTAGCCCGTTCTACAACAGAGCCGGGAACTGCAGAGAAATGAAAAGTGTTTGGCTCGAAATTACATGCTGCACATCCCACGCCAGGGCCGGCCGGCGCAGCCACCTGGGGCCCGTCTGGGCCAGCTCACCTCTTCCTCTTCCTCCTCGCCCTCGCGGTCGATGATCTGAAGGAGCCTCTTTTTGTCGTCATCTGCTTCTTCCACCACCGTGGCCTCCTCCTCCCGGTAGCGGCCCCGTTCTCGAGCGCCCGCCTGTCTCCGGCGCATCTTCAGTTCCTCCTCTTCATCATCCCGGGGTCGCTTGGTGCCCCTGTTGGGCTAATAAGGGAAAAGAAATGCCAAGTTTTAAGGGCTGCAGAGGATGGTTGAAGGGCGCTGACAGCAAGGACTTGAAAAGCTTTCAAGAATCCCCCAGCTGGAAGGCACCATAGCAAAAATTCCACCCTCCCACATATCTGGAGAACGCGCTAAGAGGTTCTTTTTCAGACCCGCTGTGATTCTGCAGATTACAGGGTGAAAGTCACCCAACAAGGTGGCTGGTCTGTTTGTTTGAATATGCTAAGTTCTGCCACTTCACAAAATCCCAGTACATGTAAAATTTAATAAAAAAATTTTTTAAAAATCACAGGAAAAAGAGTCACATTGAGATGAAGCATGGGATTAGGCTATTTTTTAGGATACGATTCCTAACATCGACCCCTCAGCACAAGAAACAGCTAGGAAAGATTACACTCCCTCACAAGTAATTCACACAGAATATTATCCATGCAGCCTCCGTGGGTCCTCAGCCTGGCAAATCCCCAATTCTTAGTAAAGTAAGGCACCACTGTGGGCCTCAAGGAGCACCACGTCTCCCCTCAGATTGGGTCACTGCTGGCACGACGGCATCACTCAACTCCTCCCGGCCTCAGTTTCCTCATCTGTAAATGGCTTCTAAGGTTGTGTCTGTCTGTTTACCAATCTTCCACCATTCTTGTTAGTAACTGCACCAGGAAGCTTTTATGACGTGCAAAGCCGTCATTCACTGCCACAGAATCCCTGACTGAAGAATCATTACCACAGTGAAGTAGCCAATACCCCCATCACGTTACAGAATTATTTTGGGTTCTTTGTTTGCTATCTGTTTGCTTTCTGTTTTCAACATTTAAGATCTTTTCTCCTAGCACCTTTCTAACATACAATACAATACTCTTGGCTATAGTTCATCCAGAACTTATAACTGAAGGTCTGCGCCAAAAGGAGGTCTGCCTTTGAAAGTGAAAGAACTCTCAACTACGCTTCCGTCTTCCCCCAACACAAAACATCTTTTTTTGTTGTTTGCTTTTGCTTTCTGGATCACACCCGGCGATGCTCAGGGGTTACTCCTGGCTCTGCACTTAGGAATCACTCCTGGCGGTGCTTGGGGGACCATATGGGATACTGGGAATCGAACTCGGGTTGGCCATGTGCAAGGCAAATGCCCTACCCACTGTGCTATCGCGCCAGCCCCGAAACATCTATTTTTAAGGCTGCTCCACAGAGACCAACAGTATGATGGGTCCTTAGCAGAATGTGCTCAGCTACCAAATAGCAGAAAACGCCACACTCACTCTGGACAGCCTGCGGGACAAAGCCAATGGCCACCTCTCCCTGTCACTCGGAACCCACGTGTGACTGGACCCCTACCAGCCCAGGGCTGACAGTCTGTCTTCCGTATTCACGTACCCTGCTGGCTCTACGTTCCAGAGCTTCCGCCAGTCTAACTTTAGAACACTCACACTTGACAGTTTGGTTTGTGGGGTAACACCTGCTGTCTTTCACTGTGTCCCGAGGCTCCCTGGACTAGATTATCATTTCAAGTATTCAGGTTCTATTGAAAGGAAGAAAGGGAGCAGCAGGAAGAAGAGGAGAGGAGGAGAGACGGAGAGAGAGAGAGATGGAGAGAAAATGAAAGAAAGTGAGAGAGAAAGAGAAAGTGAGAGAACCACAAAGAGAGAAAGTGAGATAGAAAGTAAGAGAGGAAAAGAAAAAGTGTAAGATAGAGTGAGAAAGGGAGAGAGAACCACAAAGAGGAAGTGAGAGTGAGGAGAAAGTGAGAGGATGTGAGGGAGAAAGTGAGAGTGGGCCGCTGAGAGAAAAGAAAGTGAGGAGAGTGAGAGGTAGAAAGAGAAAGTGTGATGCAGAGAGTGAGAAAGTGAAAGAGAGAACCACAGAGAGAGAAAGTGAGAGGGAGGGAAAGAGAAAGAGAGAAAGTGAGAGAGAAAAAGAGAAAGTAAGAAAAGAAAGAGTGGGGAATTGAGAGAGAGAACGGCAGAGAAAGAGGAAGTGAGAATGTGAGAAAGAAAGTGAGAGAGAGAGAACCACGGAAAGAAAAGGAGAAAGTAAGAGAAAGTGAGAGAGAACCACAGAGAGAAAGAAAGTGAGAGGGAGAGAGAGGGAGAGGGGGAGAGAGAGAGAGAGAGAGAGAGAGAGAGAGAGAGCCGCCATCCGCCATGCCAGTAACCATGGGCTACCAGCAAAAGGTGCTGGTTTCCTGAGAAGATAAAGCCAAGGCGGACAGGAGGGCCGGCTTCTCACTGGAACTCTCCCCTACCGGCAGGTGCAGAGCGCCAGCCCCCACGGAATACTCATTCTTTCAGGCTCATGAAACAGGGCCCGCTGCGATTCTGATTAGCACAGGCCGGGCACGGGATCCACAGTTCTCCACAGAAATATTTCTGGATTGGTTCTCTCCAGGGGCGGAGAAGGGAAGGCTGTGTGCCACAAGGAAAAGGAGGAAGTTAAATACAGCCCCAGCTCAGAAGGGCAGGAATAGAAAGGACAGCCGCCCCGGCTCTCTCTGAAGCTGCCTCCTTCGGAGCCATGTCTTTGCAACAAACCAGCGAGCCGTGCGGGAGGAGCTTGATTTCTACCTTGTCTAATTTTCACTCCAACAGCACTTTGCTGAGGCACAACTTAAAAAGCCTCCTTTAGGCTCCCACGCATCTCTCTCTCGGGATGGAAAGGAGTTAAGCGTTCTCTCGGCAACCAGGGAAACTGCCTTAGTGCCTTCCGACGGTTCAGCATCAATTTCGTGGGTCTGCCGGGACTCACTGACAGCGTTGAGGGTCTGTCACGCAGCATCTATACCCAGACACAGAAAGCAGCCAGCCAGCCAGTGGCCTTCCTTGCTCAGACCACACTGGTTAAGTCATCCGTCCAGATAGCACCGCAGTAAGGCCATTTGCCTTACATGCAGCCATCCCAGATTCAATCCCCGGCATCCCCTCAGGTGCCCCAGGAGTGAGCCTGAGCACAGCCAGGTATGGCCCCCAAAGCAAACACAACAAAAAGGTTTGGGGTTTTTCTTTTTTTTTTTTTAATTACACAGTTTTTATTTGGAGGTTTTAAAGGGAAGGAGGAAAGAGAGAAAGTGTGAGAGAGAGACAGACAGACAGACAGACAGAGACAGAGACAGAGACAGAGAAGAGTAATGTGCTCGAGAGAAGCCGGGCTTCTCCAAGGGCGGAGAGAGCCCCTACACACATCCCAGCATTAGACGAAAAAGCATGAAAGTCCACATCTCAAGAGGGGAGATGCGGGTGACACATGTGCTCGGGCACCACATGTGCCCGGCCATGTGGGCGCAAGCAACACATGGGTTTAGGCAGCATACGCATGCCCAAAAAGGTCTAAAAAAATTGCGAAATTGGGGCTGGAGCAACAGCACAGAGGGTAGGGCGTTTGCCTTGCATGTGGCCAACCCAGGTTTGATTCCCAGCATCCCATATGGTCCCCTGAGTACCACCAGGGGTGATTCCTGAGTGCAGAGCCGGGAGTAACCCCTGGGCATTGCTAGGTGTGACCCCAAAAGCAAAAGAAAAAAGAAAAGAAAAAAATTGTGAAAGAATCCATTACATCCCAAACAGTGCGCTTCGGTAGGAAATCAGTGTGAAAACTTCCTAACACCGTATGCGCGACTCCTTTCCTGCAGCCCGGGTCTCGGAATCTGGTCTGTACATGCACTGTGGAGTGTATCAATCCACTCGTCGGTTCCAGGAAATCACACTAGGTAGCAGAAATTGAGGGGCCTGCAGCCGAGATATCCCTGTTCTCTACTAAAGCTGAAGCGCGATTGTTTCTTCCGGCCACATGGCATGACCTGGGCCGAGGATTCCGTTTATGAAAGGCCCCGAATGCAAATGGTGCAGCCCTGAGTCTGCAATACACTGCACAATTACGCGGCCCCGTGTTCACCCCTGAGAGAGCAATCAACAATACCAAACCGAGCAAACCCAAGCGAGTGGGGAAAGAAGCTCCGCGGCGTCAATCCGACTCCACTTCCTGAGGGCCCAGGAAGGGGAGGAAACACTCGAGGCCTGTCAGAGAAGGGGCCCCGAGCACCAGGCCCCCCTCGGCCCCCCACCGCCAGTCCCAAGCGGCTCGGACCTCTCGTACCAATCACGGGGGCGATTAATTTGTTCTGATCTCTGAAAGGTGCTCGGAATCCCTCAAGTCGATGAAGGAATGACAAAAGAAATTGTTCTTAATAAAGTCATTTCTCTGCTTCTGCTGCCCACAGGACCTGGGGGCGGGGAGTGATTAACTCTTAACCTCGGATGTGCCGGGAGGATTCGCCGTTATGAAATTCCACAATTGTCTGCATACCCTGCCTTCCTTCCTAGCTGCTGGTGAGCACTTTAGGTGCTCACTGGGCTTTGCCCCCATGTACCCAGACACTCGAGGACAGCTCAAGGGTTCACATTTGCTGCAAGCCCCGAGATTCCATGTGTGCAAGCGGTCCTGACTTTCCATGCCAAAAATCTGGAAGCAAGCCCACTGTGTTACGGGTGTGTGTGAGGTTGTGTGAATGTGTGAGTGTCAGGAAAGTCGGGGGGGGGGGGGGGGACGAAGAGAGGAGGAGGTTATCTATGCACGGAGGGGGGAGGGGAATATGGGGATATTTCCCTCTGGAAAAAAGAAATCAAGACATCTCCATGAAAGCTTTGAAAGAGTTAAAAAAAAAATTAAATAAGCAATCTGCCAAGGATACTCCCTGTGTACCCAGACAATATCCAAGCTAAGCTTTGGGTTTCATTTTTCCCTCTCTCCCTCTCTCTCTGTCTCTCTCTCGCTTTCTCGCTCTTTTTTTTTTTTAATTAAAAAGCAGTGAGAAGCTGTAGCTATAATGAGGGGCTGTGGGAACATGCAGTTATATTGGGCTCAAAGTAATGTACCATAGGAAGAGGCTACATCACCAGAACGAATCCTAAATTAAAACTCCACTATGAAACCAACTCCATTTCCTCTTAGCATGCAATCTATATTATCACATTTATGGTCTGTCTCGACCTCAATTA